TACATTCTGAAACGGTCGAAGCGCATCCTGTACGGTTTGTGAAGATTAGCAGCTCCTGTTTCGGCGCACAAGAGTTCCAAAGTTCAACCCAATAGCCCTCATCAGGGCCGCCTGCGACATGAACGAATGTAAAAGTTTAACTGAATCAAATGTTCTTCTGTTGTTGTCAATGTGGTTTTACGACGCTGGCGGCTATGCGCTTATAACCGCTTCCTCAGGTGAATATTGTGCTTTTGGAGCTCAGTTCACGTGATAACACCCGAGCCACCTTATTGAATGAACTCTGCGCAGGTCGCTGGACCCGATATCATGGTGGTGGAGGGGCTGTAGGATGAAAGGTAGGGAAGTCAATGTCAGTCGTCTAAAAACGGATAAGGCCTTCAAAAAGAACACTATGTTTGTCATTCCAGAGAACATGGAGGCTAGAACAACTCTCGCCGACCCGCAAAGTAACACACAGAATCAACAGAACAAACCAGCCAGTTATCAGGTGAACTTTTTTTATATCTCTGTGCATTCGTTAATATTGCAGTTGTGATCCTGAAGAGATCCGGACCTTTGAAACAAGCCCATTGAAGCGGGAGCTTCTCATCTTCTAAAACGGTACGGGATACGACCTTAGCGATATCAGAGATTATACGGCGTTCATCGCAGAGTCGATCTTCTCGTTAGCCAAATGTCTTGCCCTCCTTTCCAAGGCGGCACATTGTTGCGAGCGAACAGCAACTCCTCACAGATGAAGGGTCGAGTGCGGCACGCGTCGCTTATAGTCTTGCTCCGGGTTTCTACGCAAGGCCCCCAGTACTTACAGGATCAAAACACCATTCATTTGCTTTTCAGAACGGTTTTTCACATCAACGGGTACCATCGGATGCAGTGTGACGAGCTAACTTTGTACAAATATGGATTTCCATAAAAAAGTGAAGAGAAACAATGTTAAGGCGAAGGAACAAAAAACCTTGTTGGCGTTTTTTGCTATTTTTTGAATACTCTGCTGTGTTCCTACGCCATGAGTCAAAATAGCCTTACTTGCTGAAGTGATCAAGCCACAACCACGTCTCAGGAAAATTGCGACGAATCATCGGCTGTGGTGACGGTGCACCTGCGCTACCAGGTGCAAACGCAACTGGTGCTGGAGCCATTACGGGCGTGAAAAAGACTCGCGCTGGAAAATTGGTTGGTAGGACTTCCATATATTTCGGTGGCAACGACGAGGACAACAACATAAGAAGGGACGTGCGTCGAATTCGAGCCGACAGTACCAGGAGAAAAGGATCGCAGTTCGGACAACGAGAAACAAAGCGCACCATAACCAGTGAGACGCCCAAAATGCTAGGCCGAAAACAATAAGTGCAATGTGACGGAGCCTGCTCCCGCAGGATTAAAAGATTAGGTGGAACTTAAAATGGTTTTTTTGCACTGCTCATAACGTCAACCGGAACAACCCAACAGTTTTGCGAACAAAAAATTAAAGGTTTAAATTCGATGGCAATCGCTCTACTAGTGAACAAGTTTTATCCATGGACTCCAGGTGCTTTTTCTGTACATATCAGTAGGTGTTAACTAAAATGGATAGATGCGAATAGTATCTTTATAGTACTTTCGTATCTTTCGATGTATGTAGAATGCTTTGTATGTAGAATTTAGCAGCCTGATATTTTGATGGAAGTGCTTTCTTAACAGGACATGATTTTATTGTAAAACAAAAGACTGTCTGTTACGGACGAAAGCCGCTGTAATTGGTTTAACCTCGTTTTGCTCCTAATACGATGAAAGAAATTAGGTAGATATATACTGCGAAGCATAATCATAGTTCCACCCATGAATCTCACAAAATCCCGCGACGTTTTCAAAAATGCCCCCATACAAAAAATGTGGTAATTACCAATACCAATTCGCATGCCAACACCAAACTCTAACTTGAAAAACAATTTTTTTCGTCAATTTTTTCAAAAATGGTCGTTCTGACAATGCAGCAAAATGATAGTTCCACCGCATATTTTCCCGCTGCATCTCATTTTTGTTAGGTGAAACTTCTCATCATTATGACTTCTTGCCTTTTCTAGGCTATGGCAAGTGGAACTTCATTAATGGACCTCGAAAAAGGACAGATTATCGCAAAGAAGACTCAAAAACTGTGAACCGTCGAATGGCGCGGATTCGGGCACTCATCATGCTATCAACAATTTTTTCAAGGGAACCTACAGGATATTGAGTTGAGAAGAGCTCTGGACATCCTCCTTTGCTGCCCGATCGGAATAAGCCGTATCCTTAGGAAAGCATCCAACTCTGCAGTGTCGTGTCGGGAAATTAAGTCATCTTCCGGAGGTTAATGTCTCGAAGGATACTGTTAGGCGTGTCTTGAAAAACTCCTGAGTTCACCTACAGGAGGAATGTGAGTTAGGCACTGTTTCTAAAAAAAACCATCGCGAAAAGCCTAATTGGCTTTGCTAGAAGATGTTGCCGAACCGATTGGAGTAAGGTTAGTTTTTGGCTGAGCGTGATTCAGTCGTCACCAAACCGCTCTTTTGCCCTGGCCAGCGAGTAGCCCCGACTTAAACCCAATCGAGGATGTGAGGGGCTTCATGGTGCGTATGATCTATGCGAACGATGCACAATTCCACAATGCCCGTGAGCTTAGAGAATTAACACGTTCGCGGCGAATCGTGTACTCCCGGGAGTACACGCGCCTATTCGCTGGTTTTTTGTATTTTATTTTCTTTTCCCACTAACAATTGGATATAAATAATAATCAAACAATAGAGAAATAATATCCACACATTAGAAGAGGCGTGTATACCTGGAAAAATACTCAAAAACTTTCCTCTTTAGGCGAATCGTGCATTCTTGGGAGTACACGCGCCTCTTCGCTCGTTTTTTGATGATTTTTTTTCTTCTTTTCACTGGCAATTATGAACAAATCATAAAACAAATAATATACAAGTAATACTAAGAACATTTCTCGTGTATTTTTTGGAACCAGGTAAGGCAGTAGTGGTTTTACAAGAAGAAACTAAGATTTTCCACAAAAACAGTCTAAGCTCCTCTTTGCGCGGTACAGTGAACATCAAAAAGGGCAAGAGAACCAGTTCATCTACCGAAACTTAGATAAAACTTGTAGAACGGAAAAATGTAAAAAGAGAATGGCAAAAAAACAAGCAATATAATCCGTGAATTTTTAGGCGTTTAAATTAAGTTTCCGTCGCGAGCGCCGAAAACCAAAATGCGGGATGACTGCCTAAGTGTCGCCCGGCGCGAACGCGTCGCTCGACAAACGGGAGTTTTTGACGAAACGGCGCCGCCGCGAACGTGTTAATCATTGGTGTAGTCAGCCAAAGCCTATTGAAAATCTCTAATCGAGCATGGGCAACCGTATTTTCCAACTTAATCGGAGAAATAGAGTTCCAATAGATTACTGGATCAAAATTTATTCATTTTGTTGTACACTTGTTGTTGGAATATTCGATTTGTTCGGTACCACATTTTTTGTATGGGGGCATTTTTGAAAACGTCGTGTAAGACGGGATTTTGTGAGATTCATGGGTGGAACTATGATTATGCTTCGCAGTGTAGAGACAAAGGATCGCGATCCCACGCGGACTTATGCATCTACGCTTTAAGATCATGTTGCTGTACTGATCTCTGGTTTGTTCGACTTTTGCGACCCAAGAGTAAAGGAATGAACTTGAATAACGAACTCGACGTCGGAGTCATTCCAAATCCAAGTTTCCGGAAACGCCGACCGAACAGTGATTGAGTTGTCTGGCCGATTGATTTCAGCGAGATGGTCTATGACGACCGCGGCCTTCGACATTTGAGCCATTTGGAAGAACACTGCGAACAGTCAGTGAAATACCTGGCTCAAGGGTTTGGTAGGCAGTGGTGGCGCTTGCAGTACATGGGAAGAAAGATGGAAAGTGAATAGAGAGAGGTGTCCGGTGCTGAACATGCTGGATGGACGGCCAAACAGTTGCATGCCCTGCATAACATGCTACAAATCTCGATCTTTGCTGAGTGTCTGCAGAGAAAGCTCGTTTCGACTCACTTAGCCTAAGCGTGCTACCAGAAGGATTGCCAATGGCGATCTATGTAAGATGGAGGAAAGTAAAAGCATACATCAAGGTGAAGTGGGAATGGGTCAAGTCAGATTGTTCCGAGTATTTCCGAGTAAAATAGATAATTCTGAGTCCTTTTGAAAGAATCCTTCTACAATTTAAACCACACAGAGGAGGTCTGAGGAGCAGAGCCGTTCTTGGGCGTCGAGATCATTATGTGAGTGAATGTGAGCAATCCAACTGAGAAATGTTAGGTGCAAAAGCCAGGCAAAGCAGCAAATTCGGATAGTAGTTTGACGTCGACAACATAAAATATGGTTAGTACAGTATTCAGATTAGTATTGGTACACTCCACATCCAGGAAGAGGAGGGCGTGGCTGCGTACTTCATTCCACTGCGGTGTCTACTGCGTTTCTGGCGGGAAGTTACCATTCTGGGACAACTGAATCGCGTCTTTGTCTAAGACAAGACGGGATGACAGTTGCCTCAAATGGGATATCCCACGAAAAACGTTTTTAACGCCAAGCTCAGATGAAGTAGTGAAGTGGACGCCCTTCCAAGATATGGAGTGCCATACATGTTAGCACAGAAAACCGATAGAACATGCAAACGACTGTGGAACGTTCAGTAACTCTCGCTAGTTTATCAGTCATTCAGACTATCGTCCGCATTGATGGTGTGGGCGGGCTCCATCCTACTATTCTCTCACTGGACCGATCTGACGCCTTAACATTCTGAAGAGGGCCCACCAATGACGAAAGAACATTGTTGGGTGGGGCTCAGCCCACACAATCGCTGCGGAATGCACCCTCAACAGAACAGTTTTGCTTCCAGGAAAAGATTCACTGAACGCATGAAGCTCTAAGCTCTAAACTCGTTCTGTCAAGAGTGCAACCTTAACTAAGAGCTTGATCGTTCCACAGTTGCTTTCTGACCGACCAGAATTCAAGAACGAGAACCCTGGCAGACCAGATAATACCGTAGTATGAACGCACTTGGCGGATCTGGTTGCCGGTAAAGATATGCGTCCGTCAAAACAATTAAGCCAGCGTTCTGAAAATAGACTTTTGATAAAGGTTGTCAGGAGAGATTTGTCAAAGTACCGTACTTCTATTTCTATTACTGCTCAACAAGAGCTAATGGTAAGCATAAATATGTAGATATGAAAATAATCGAAGAACTCACTTCAAAAATACTGGCTGCATCCTTTCCACCAACGCCCCACCATGGATTCCATATGGATCGCTAAAATTACTCTTTTCGAAAAGGCTGTGCAAATGTAGTTGAGCAAGGCCTGGCGACAGCGTCTCATCTCTTTCCCCGAACCAAGACTCAGGCCTAGAGGTCAGACAACAAGAGTCGCATAAAAACAGCGCAGGAAGGTAGGAGACAACGGCTGCCAAAGCACTCGAAGGTGGAATGAGCATATAACGAGCCAAGGGATGGACGTTTCAAGGGTGGGACTCCAAGGTGGGCGAGCTACTCATCATACGTGAAAAGTCTTACTGTTTGAAGTCATTGTGGTCATATTCATGCAGGTGAGAAAGCGCAGAGCAGGTAAGAAAACTGAACACTGGAACGCGTGCGCCCGCAGCCTGTGCCGTAGCATAGGAAGAGCTCGCGTGGCTCGTTGACCGCAACCAGTTAGCACAGAAAACACTTTCTGAATTTGTCAAGGTCCACAATGGAAAACGAGGTATTCGTGGGGCTACATGTAGGTATCCCATAAATGTAAGTGTAAGTGACGGTGTCAGTGCCATTCGAAAACCTGAGACTGTGCGTGGCGCAAATGCATGAGGTGTTCAGGCGCTGTTTGTCGACGGGGGGCATTTTGTACTACCATTGCTTCCCTAGTTCCGGTTTACAAATCTCACCTGGTAAAACTTGTGAACCCTTGTGAAGCTGGAGCAAGATCGTCTAGCCACCATCCTAAAACGTGTCGAGAAAAGGCTACCTAGATGGGTCGGCACATCTATGGAAAGCAGAATGCCCCCCCCCGGTCGACAAACTGCGCCAGGTGTTCATACGGATGTGAAGGAGTTAGTCCGGCCACATTACTTATCCTTGCAAAACTGGCGCCTCAGGAGGTGCGCGGCTAGCAGCAAGTGTGCTGGTATTAGCCCACTTCAAGCTGCAGAACCCTTGCATGAAGGCAATGAGCAAATTTTTGCGTGTGCGCTTTCGTAGTCGCTGGCTAACGGCGCAGTAAAGTACCTATTCCGAGGAAGATGCTACCGAACGAAGAATAGAGTGGAATAAAGCAAAAACAAGACGTTGACGCACCTTCCGCCTCTTCTTATCAATCGCTCCTTCCCATGGACGGAATCCACCGCCACCTTGGTAACCAGTTGTATCGTATTCTTCTATGTCCGACTCGATCTGTATTAGAATTGCGGTATCAAGTGCCTTTTTTGCCTTTTTCAGTTTTATATGACCAGATGAGAAATCTACCAGTTGTGGTGTGATATCGTTTCCAGATTTCTGGAGTAGCACTGACTGATCAAGGACGAGTAGACCGACGTAGGATTCAGGATCCGCTGAAACCTTGAATGACACTGATTCACCAGGTTCGACGGACGATTTGTCGATTGTGAGGGTGACCTGAAATTTCAAAAAATTCAACCACTCCTTAGCACAGAAGTTCGAGAAAGGATCCATTGTACGGATAACGACTTAAGAAATCGAATGTCATGGTTATCACTATTTTTGTTCCAGAGAGTTCCAACGGAACCCAGGGTTCCTACCAGCGCAGCAAATCCAAACGCTGATCTGTTTGTTATATAAATGGTTAAAAAATATAGTGTTGCTTGTTGAGCTTACTTTTTCTTTGACCTCATATGTCAACAATTCGTCTACTTTCATAATTAAAGTTTCCCTTCAAGAAAAACAACATTACTAATGAGCAAGAATTGGGGAGGCGGGTGGGATAGGGAAAAAAGATGATCTGATTTGCTCTTATTATTTACTAGTTCTACGGTCAGACACTCATTCCTACTGACCAAGTACAGTAACCTCCGAGCATGTTACTTGTAAGGTGAATGGGTCTACAGCTGCAGTAGCCCGCCACTTTCTCTGCTCAAAAGTACTTGGGAAGGAGGCTGGAGGATGGTGTACTTGTGGGACGAGGGGGCTGAAGCCTCTTCCCAAGTGTTATAGTGTACCCGGGCAGCAGTTTCTGTACTCCGACGCCGCCGTATCCTCAGGTGTTGGCGGCACCTGCCTCGGGAGTTATCTAAGTCGGCCAGCGATAAAACTACCAGAAGTGAGAGCTGGCGTTGAGGGAGCGCGGGCAGAGTATGGACTGTCGACTTTAGGGAGTAAGGCGCTGTAGCAAACACTCACATTGTTCCGGAACAGACCGTCAACTTTGAAATCTGTGGCGTCCACCAAAATCTCTTGATTGCCCGCTCGAACAGCGTAAGCGATCAGCCTCGATTTCGGTGCCATCTAGAATTACAAGGAAGCAAAATGGAGAATGTGGGAATAACGAGGTTACAAGCCGCAGACATAAAAATACAATCAGAATTTAGAACGTAAAAGTTATCCCAAGGCGAAGAGGCCTATTGACAAAAAACATTACAAGGAAAACTCACCTCGTTCGTGGCTGTGAAGGAAATTGTGGTATGGTCAGAGTTCACTGGAATTTCTTTTGACAGCACCACAGATCCCCTTGACATCACCTAGAAGATCACTCGAAATGTATCTCTTGTCACGTGCTGCGCTTGAACAGAAAACGTCCAAAAGGGGAGAAAGTGCTACAAACCTGATAGGTGAGAACTGGTATCTGTTCGGTAGCTTTTACCGAGAAGGACAACGTTTTGCCAACATCGACAACACCTTCGTTGTCGGCGATCAGTTGAAGGAAAGAATTTGACGGTGATTTGCCCGCCTCTACGTAAAGGCTACTGTAGATGACGGCGTTGGTAAAGTTATCCTTGCCACTGCGGTCATAGTGAGCCTCAAAATGATTCCATTAGAGCATGTCGACTGAGGTCACGTACAGTCATACGACGATCGTCCTCGTTTCTAGAGTTACTCAAAGGTTACTTCGCAAGAATACTGAGATATGGGCAAAAGCCTTGGCCCCTGGCGGGAACTGAACCCATACCCCACGATTTTCGCGTGAATGAGCTTGCGTTACACAGCCAGGGCCGCTTTTTCCCTCTCAGCTTGATGGCTACTGCCCACTGAGAGGGTAAAAGCTCAAACGTCAGATAGCCGCGAGGTTGAAGGGCTTCCTGAAGTTGTTTTATAATGACGACCTGAGGTAACTTCCGGGCGCGCTTCTGCAATAGTGATTTGGAAGAATTACCTCAATTCTAGCGCTTGTGCAATTGAGGGGAGGTTGCAGAGCGAGTACAGTAGTCCCGTGCGCGTCCAAATCTACGATTTTCACTTCCTTGTCTTCGTGCTGTGTTGGTGAATCCGGATTGAACGGATAGTTGTAGAACGTTGT